AGAAGCAAAGAAACCCAGTGAGTGACAGAAATAAAACTTGGAATTTTGGATTTCTGTAACTGGGCTTCTCCAATATTTTGTTTTTCATTTTTTCGGTGGGTACTGCCAGTCTCTAGAAAATCTTTTTCAAGAGTTGCAATGAATTCTCATTAACTTGGAAGCAATTAGTTCAAGATTCATTGTAATTTGAATAGCACATGGGCTATTGTCTCCACACTAAATAAGAAGAGAGATTTTTGTTAATAAAATAATGTGACCATCTCAGGGAGGATAAAAAAATGTCAGAGCAAATATGTTATATATTAATTATATATCAATTAAAATATATTTTGAAGCATCTATTCATATATTATCAATCATTTTGAAATGGATAATTCATTATTACTCTTGAAGGGATATTTCCTTATTAATAGTTTTTTACTCTACTGTATCTTATTACTCTCAGGGTTTAGTAATAAGGAGAAACTCCCTTTACTTAAAAAAATAGTTTTGATACTTCACATAAATGCAGGATATAGTATTCCCTTTCATCGTAAGCAAAAATACCTTCTTGGGGCCCAATTTAATCCAGACACCATAAAACACAATCTGAAATCCAGGACTTTAAAACGTCCAGGTTCCTTACATTTTTGTTTTCAAATCATAGTTCTGTACAGATTTTAGTCATCATTATCATCTCAAATTACTTAAGAAAAGAAATTATTATGCTTACCATTTAAATCTTTAAAACCCACACTGTAGTTAAATTCAGCTCTGGGTGGTTTGGGGTCCGGAGGAGGAAGAGTGTCAACTCCTAAACTCTGTGAAAATAGATCCCCGCCCCCAAAGTTATTCACCATACGAACATGTTTGCAGTGTATTTTATTTTATTTTTTTTTAAAGATTTTACTTATTTATTTGAGAGAGAGAATGAGACAGAGAGAGAGAGCATGAGATGGGGGAGGGTCAGAGGGAGAAGCAGACTCCCTGCCGAGCAGGGAGCCCGATGCGGGACTCGATCCCGGGACTCCAGGATCATGACCTG